GATGTCTTTTTGGTTATTGGTCACATCTACTCTCTCTCTCTGTGTATTGTAGACACACCCAGGACCCTGCATCAGTCTTTTTAATTCAACACTTTGAACAGTTGACGCTGCCATGCCCCTGAGCTTTCCTCCTCTCCAGCTACGCACCGTGTGTGTTTTAGCATACGAGCACGAAACACTTGAACGCAGCTCTCCGACGAGCGATGCCAAAAAAAAAAAAAAGAAACAAAAGGAAAAAGTGGTGCCTCTAAAAGCTGTGACGAGGCTCGCGCAGGCCGGACGGACGACTTGGTGGAGCTGTCAGTGGGAATCAGAGCTGCTACTGTGACGGACGGTTTCAATATTGATTTCATAAATAAACAAAGCTAACCATCGATCCTAATGTTATTTTGCATTTCAATTACTGCTCCGAAACATAACCTTCAAACAGCTGACCGCTCAATACCAATAGCCTTCGCTGATAAACACCCATATAGTTACCCGCCTTGCGTCACGTTTTCTAACAAAGTGTGAATTACTACGACCAGAATCAGCTTCGAGTGTAACGGAAGACGACAAACAAATATTAATGGAACGCGTCAAACTTGGACAACACAGCAAACTTTAGCTTTTCAGTGTTTTCTTCTGACTAATGCAACACTTCAGCAGCTCTTTTCTTGACGCAGGTATTTTTTCTAAACTTCTGCATGTGTGTGTGTATGTATACGTGCATGCATGCATGTGTGTGTAAATGAAGAGGAGCCCTTCAACGTTGGAGCAACAGGAAGAAGTGCTGACGCACTGTGTCAGTGATAGCACTCTGCTGCCACAAGGGCATGAGAGCCCACATAGGCTAGCATTATCCTTCTAGACTAATGGACCTGGGTATTTTTAAACAGATTCTCACACTGCGGTGGAGGTGTCCAAGGTTACCGTGGACGAGAAATTAGGAGGGACGCATGCGGTGACGGTTGGTGATTTTCTGTGCAGGTGGATGTCGTGAAACAGCCAAAGCGGCGTGGTGGGTAATCACCAGGGTGGTGTAAAGGCCAGACGTCAGATGAGCTCTCAAGAGATAGCATGTTTAGGATAACAATAAATTGACTAATTATATCAAAAATAAAAGGAATAATTAACTAGCAAAATGACACACATTTTTTACATTTAATGCACTAATTTAATTTAAAAAGTGCAAAATAATCAAGCCAATTTTTTAATACAGAAAGAGCCTGTATGTATGTATGTGTGTAACTATTATTTTCCAATTAATGACCTGAACAGTGAAGCAGCAGAGGGAGGTGCCTGATGTGGCAGCTCCCTAAAAGCCAGCCTAAGCACTAACTATGAACTCAAATACCTCTGGAGCTACAGAATAGTTAACATCCAGCGACTGCCAATATACTCTGCATCCCCATTTGGCCTGGAGAGGGACAACATGCTCCCCTCCCCGCCTGCCCCACCACCACCACCACCCCCCACTCAGCCTGAGTTGAGTGACATATTTACAGTGAGAGTAATGATACTAGATACCAGAAATGAGAGGGCTCCAGCGTGGCCAGTGGACTCAGGAATCTCTCTAATGAATTGGACAACAAAGCCCTGTTGGTACAAGGAAGAAGTATTTAGAATTGGGCAACAAACTGAACTTAATCACATTAGGTTTTTTTTTTCTTTAAAAGGCACACCATCCCAACACCTCCTAAAAGCTCTGCTGGATGAGGAGGGTGGGAGTGGGACAGGTGGGATGGCTGGGCTGCACGCTGCTGCTACAGAGGCCACCAGCTACTGGCTCATAGCGGGGTGGCCATTCTCGGCCAGGAGCCTCTTCTGGTAATGTATTCTGAAACCAAATTACCGTAAGCTGATCCCATCTGGATAGTGTCTGTGCACGGCTGCTTTGGTTACCCACCACTGCCTCTAGCCTGTGATAGCATCTCCATGAAGACAGCAAAAATCTGATTAACCCAATAACAATGAAACACTTGGTCAAAGAGCAAAGAGCTTTTAACTTAAGATACACTAATGCAATTCCCTCGCCTTGTTTTCTGAAACCTAATAAGAATCAAGTGGACGGACTGCTAGGGATGGGGTGTTTGCAGGCTCTAATGCAGCAACCTGGGAATGAAGTCAAATAAATTGAAATCTAATTCATCACTGTGTGCTAACTTCTTTCTGCTTCTCTAAAAATACATTAAAAAGCTCTTATTTCATGAAGGGAAATTGGATAGCCTAGTTAGTTTATTGCAGTGGCTCTGCCAGGGCTTAAGGAAAGCATGGGTGTTGATGGAACGGTTCAGAAGCAGAAAGAAGTCACATCTCAATCCGCTGCCGCTCTAAACATGTGCATTTTCTAGCAAGCACTGAGGAGCTCACACTGAGGAGCCGTAGCTGACTTCTGGAAAGTGTGAGCAGCCACACAGGATCAACAATAAGCTTACAGTAAAGAACTTCCTGAGATATTTAGACTAAAACGAGTCAGGACAATGTAAATAACAGGACGATGGGCTGCACGAGGCAATGCAAGAAATTCTGAGCAAATAAATACAGAATACTTGGTAATAACTTTCAAATGCATTTCTAGTCTGTAAAGAAACACAAGGACAGAACTCTGTTTCCATCGAATTCCCCGACACACTGATTCCACCACTATATCGTGCTAATTACACGGAGCACATACGTCCCACTAATCCTCTCACCCAAAGCATCACGGCCACGTCCAGCCCTCAGTCAGGGGCTGCAAACGCCACTGTACAATTAGCAGGAGAGAGCTGAACCAAAAAGAGCCAGAGCTGGAAGGATCCCACAAATAAACTGCTGGTAGGTAGAACCAGGAGAAGATTTCAGACGGATTTTTAAAGTTTTTTAAAAATATATATTATTGCGTGCATTTTATTGGGAAGAATTTCTGACTACACGTGCAGTAATTGGCTGAAGTTATTTATACATTAAACACCTGTTCACAATTCAGCTTTGGGAGGCTTAATTCTCTCCTCACTGTCACCTCACAGCATGAGGATACATGCCAGGCAAATATTATTAACATGGGGTAAGAAAACGCAACTTATTTCTAGTTTAGAGAGTGATTAAATATTAATTATTATTCCCTGTCGTTGTGTACAAATTCCAAATCAGTGCACAGCATCACGATCAATAATAATATTTACAAATGTGTAGGCTATGTTTTTTAAAAAAAGAAATGACAAACCAACAGATTAATTAATATTACTGAACAATATTTAGCCTGCACACATTTCTGAACTTCTTCTTCTTTCTAATAAATGAACACAGAGGATGTTAGATTGTCTTCAAGTGTAAAACTTAATATTAAAAACTGAGAGAGAGAAGAAAAAAAAATCAAACAAACTGAAACACTTTTTAAACAAATCATTTTCAGCATAATTAAAAATGTGGAAAGTTGATGTGTTTTTTTACTTTGTGCAATAAATATAATTCAGTATTTGTTGGGAACTGCAGAGGAAATAAAAGGCAGAGGGGTGTAAAGATCTGTTTAAAGTAGATATAAATTGCAGCAGCTTTGCTCACATGAGAACACAGTGAAAAACATAAATACGTTTCTACTTATAACACCTGACATGTTGGAGAAACGTCCACTTTGCTGCTGCTGTTGGTGTAATTTTAAGTGTATCAGAGGGAAAAGTGAGGATATATGTTCCACATTTAGGGGGAAAAATAAGGTAACTGCATACATGTCTAAGATATTAATATGTTCTCTTTTTGAATTTGTGTTGATTGAAGCTCAAATGAATAAAACGTGTGAAGTAAAACAAAAGACACTGACAGAACTCGGCTCACTAACTCCACAGTGTTTCTAGTTGAGAATAAAAGCATTGCTTTGAATGCAATAAATAAAACAAAACAAAACTGAGAGCTTAATTAAGGTGACAGAGAATCATATTAAGAACATGAAAACATCAGTTATGAGTCCCCACAATTTGGTATAAAAAACGCATTTTGTAATTTGGAAGAATTTTCTACACAATCCAGGAAAGAAAATTAAAATTGTCTGAGTGCACTGAAATGTCTTTAAACATCTTATCTACAAATCGACTGATTTTATTGCACAGTGTGAAAATAATAAATGCTGCTAAAAAAAAAAAAAACTATAATATTTAAACTGTAGTCTAATGTTCTGTGGGGTTTTTTAAAAATACATAATCTAGGATTTGTTGCTGCTAAATATTATTGCACCATATCAATAAAATCTATTTCAAAAAACCCCAAAGCAAATAAAAATGTGCTTTAACTATATATAATTTATTTAGTTTTAAACGTATCGGTGGATTTAGAAAGTTTCCTCCTGCAGGCACTGTGAGCCCAGACTGTCCCACGAGCTGCTGAGAGAGCAGCTCGCCTGGCGTGCCGCTGCCTGGGACAGACCCAGCAGCTCACCGAGGGTTACAGGGTCCTTTCATTCGCCTTTCCCCGGCTACAAATATATATTACAGCGTGTAATTTATCCTCTCCAATTCCACGGATTCACGTTAATCTCATCTCCTTAAAATATTATTCTCATTCTCCCTGGGCGGCCGGATCTAGGAACAAAGCCATCAGCAAACAAGCTCCTAACCCAACTGGACAGGTACCCCCCAATTCTTTAGAGGGGGGGCAAAAAAAAGAAAATACACACTTTGCAGAGAGAGGGGGGCAAGTTAAATCAATCGTCCATGCTCCGAATGATATTTAGAAAAAGACATTTGCTCACACAATAAATCTACACACGCTGGCACGTATATGCACAGTTGCACCTGCCCTGTTGCTCAATACTGTCAAGTCTGGCGTTATTTAAAATCCCTCAACAAAAAAAACAAAGAAGGGAAAGTGTGCACGAGTTAAGAAAAAAGTAAAAGCACATCAGTAGGAGGGGGGGAAAAAAAAAAGTTCAAGACCTTAACTAGTAGGATTCAATAAAACAAGAAGAAATTGTGAAACAGCAGAGGGAGGTTAAAAAAGATTTTAAAAAAACAAAAAAAAAGTGAAAGAAGGAAAGAAGGTGCACCTACTGGTTATGATAGCTGAGAGGGTCTGGAAGACAAAGTTCTGAAATGTCCATCAGTCCAGTTTTAGCATTCCAGGAATGAGAGGAAGAGGAAAGAGAAAACAATTGAGACCCGCTTCTTCCCCAAATGATAGCACAGCACCCTCAGAGACAACGCCGCCGAACGCCCCCTCCAGCACCGCTCCCCCCAGCCTGCACAGGTATGTCGGACTCTGATGGATTGAGTGTGTGTGCGGGAAGCATGTGTGTTGTGTATGTGTGTGTGTTTATGTATATATGAGTGGGAGAAAGAGAGAGAGAGAGAGAAAGAAAGAGAGAGTGTGTCTGCAAGTGAATGTATGACAGCGAGAGAGGGAGAGAGTGAAGGGGGGAGGGACGGATAGACGGAGAGGTAAAGGGGGGAGAGAGAGAGAGAGAGAGAGAGAGAGAGAGAGGGGAGGCAGCAGCAGCAGCAGCAGTGGTGGGATGAGCGCTAAGATGGAGAGAGCATGAGAGTGCGAGCGAGAGGAATGACTCTTTCCATGGTCGGGATAGGGCTCTTTAAGACTCAAGGGCTTGATGAATATGGAACAGCTGCTGTTGGCTGGCTCTGAGGGGCAGGACTTAAAGCGACAGAGGGGCCGGCGGAGCAACCGGGGAGGAGGGATCCGAACGCTCACAACACACACACACACACACACACACACACACAGACAAAACAACCGATCACATGAACAACAGAGATGCAACCCGGGAGAACAGTCAACACACAAAAGTTCCCGTCTCAGCTGAATAAAAAAGGAGCAACTCTGGATGCTTAAAAATTCAAATAATAAAACAGAGGCTGTGAGCGTCAGTGCATCACATTTGTGGACTAAAAAAGAAAAGTTAATTTATTTTGTGCTGACTTGTAGAAAACTGCATTAAATAACAAGTGTTCTAAACTATCTTTAGGATTTGATTTTTTTATGATATTACAAAAAAAAATCACTTTTTATGTTGATATTCTTCTTTAAGTTTCTATATTTTGCAGAAACATGCAGTGACATCAGACAGGAAAGTATAAGCAACGCTCCTCCACCTGACAAATAACTTCACCCAGCAGCAAACACCTCACGATGACAACACTCGCAACGAAAAAAACACCCAAACGTCGCCTGATCCATTATATAAAACATAACAAAGTCAAACATGACACCAGCCGAAGCCACAACGCCGCCGAAGTTCCAGCGAGCAGTCGAGTGCATCTGCAGCACTTCACTTTCAAAAAGCAATAGCTCTCGAACCACCGAGGACGGTAAATGTATTTATTGAGCTGTGTCGTTAGCTCCATTTGCGGGTGTTACATGTGAGGGGACCATTGTGAACCTTTCACCACCTGTGAGAGAGGATCTCAAGCCATAACTCATATTCTGGAAGCCCATCAGCTTCTAAAGCAGCGGAAAATCCAGCTCTGTCTTCTCTAACCCCAGCTTTAGAAGCGCCTGTGTTTCACTGTTGATCAAGCTCAGTAAGAATGCAGAGAATGCAGATAGCATTTCACAGTCAGTGAGGGTCTCCATGTTACTGTATCCCCACATTATAAGAACAGAGCTTACCATGGCATCTTGACACTTGGCTGAGTCGAGCAAGAAGAAACAGCAGCTCGCCCGCTTCTCAAAAACTCACAAGGTGCCTGACAGTGGTCCTCAGCCTCTTCAGCCAAAAAAACAAAAACCCACGAGCGAGCGAGCGAGCGAGGAGGAGTCGTGATCTACCAGCAGATTCGTGCGAAAAAGTGTGTTGTGTCGCTCTGCTGCTCTTCGGTTTTCTCTGCTGAACAGGAACTGCATAACCCCTGGAGAGGAATCCAGTTCCATTCATCGGCTCACGTTTCTATAATCAATGCAAAAACATCACGCAATCCCTATTGATCATCACAGGCCTATTGATGTGCAGCAATGGTGCCTCCACAGTGGCACAGATCACACAGCATCTGGTCTCTTTTTGTGACAAAACAAACGACTAAATAAATGAAACTCCAATTAAGATTGATGCCAAATCAAACACCTGTCAGTTTAATTCATTAAAGAGGGGAGGAGGGGGGGAGAAATCAGTGAAACGCAGACTTCAATATGAGCTAAATATCAAATAAAAAGGAAAACACGACATGCTTGTACACTCAGACATTTATTCAAGTCGTAGCACTCCAATCTATCTCCTTTGGAAGGTTAAAAATATATAAAAAATACTTCCAAATAGGCACCAAAACTATCAAAACATGTTCTAAATGGACCTGGTGAAGTCAGGACACCTGATTGCCCCAGAGCGGGCTACTCTCTCACGCGCTATCATCCTGGTATCTAACTTGTGTACAGCTTTCACGCTGATATCCGTTTTGACAAATCACATTTCTGCATATTTCCTGTGGCCTCCCAACACTTGACACCATCCAGACTTTTGTCATGCAGCGTGAGCTATGAAAGCCCCGCTGCCGTTATCACTGCTCCTTATCAGCTGGCTTATGAAAAAAAATCACAGCGCGTGACAGTTGATTTGACAGGAAGGGATCTGATACAAATAAATAATAGACCTGTAGTAGGCAAACACTCCATCACGCGGGGCATGACAAAGTTAAGTATGACAGCAGGGAGCAGGACAGTGTTGGGCATCGAAATAGTTGTTGTTCGCTTGTTCTGTTTTACATTTTTTTTGGTATTGCTTTTATTCAGGCTGTGTATCACATGTGTTGGTTTAAATATATGTAGGTGGTGCATTTAGTAAACAATAAATAACTTGAGAAAAGAGGAAAACAGATTTACTTTAGAGGTCTTGAGTCATCTTGTTTGTAGAAAAACTATAAAAAAATACATCTTATAAGTGTCATAAAATATTTTTTTCCTACAAAGTTAATGTTTGTCCACAAAAGTTGAACTGAAACCTTTAATACATGTGTTTTAACAACTGTGTGTTAAAGTCATGTAAACAAGTTTGTTGTGGAAGAAAGGCCACAAAAGCTCCTAACCTCCTCAAAACCACCAGATTTTGTTGATAAAATAAAATAAAATCTGAGTTGTCTGAATCTAACAATTTTATCCAAACAATTTCTGAGACACTAAACATCTACAGGCCTTTAATAATATATATATATATTTAACCTTTTGGTGCACACAGAGCTGGTCAGATCGATCAGATCATTCAGTGTCTGCTCCCACAGGAAAAGCTGCGTCCGCGTGCACTGCACATGCCTCAATTAGACCCAACCGGCGCGTGCACACTCGTGTAATTTACACTGCGCGTGAACAGCGAAATTCCAACTAGAATTAAAAAAAAAAAATTTTAAACTTCAAATATATTTTTAAGAGCTACACAAAACAGGGAAAATGCGACCAGTGAGCGTGAGGCTGGATGTGAAGCAGCGGCTGATGGATGTGTGGTGTACCTTACTCGGACAAGTCATGTCACATCCCCGGCTGAGCGCAGCGCACCGTGGACGTGCTGTGTCCTCCAGGTTGTTGGTGCTGCTGCTTTTTGCTGCTGCTCGCTGCTGCTGCTGCTCGTTGCTGCTCGTTGCTGTTGCTCGCCGCTGTGGATCTGCGCGTCTGAGCGCCCCGTTTAACTGACACACGCCGCAGCCGCACCGCCAACTCCTCCTCCGGTGCGCGCCCTGTGGCTAAACCAAACACCTCCAACCCGGCAGGCAGCGGCGGCGGGGACCCGGGCAGCGGGGTCAAATGTGACTAGAAGGGGGTGGAAGAGAAGTAGGAGAGCAGGTAAAAAACACTAGTTAGACATGTGTTATGGGCTTAACTTTTTAATTAAAAAAAAAAAAAAAAAAAAAACAATACAAATATGTCCAATATTACTCGGTAGTTGTTTGATTTTTCTGTAAATTCTTACAGACGTTAAAAAAAAAAAAACGTGTCTTTTTTTATTCTTATTATTATTTTTGCCTTTTTGTCTGTGCAGCAGCTTGGAGTCTGTGAAGCTGCCTTACAGGCTGTGGTTTGGTTCGTTTTACCTGGTGGGAACTTTTCACCTGAGAAAACGGCAGGTGACGTGTGCAGGGTGCGCGCCATGGCAGTCGGCTGGTTTCCACTGTCGATGAATAAGTAACAGGACAATAGCAGCCTGTCGCGTCTGTCGCTGTATCACGTAACCCAGGCGTTCACAAATTTCACAAACTCCTTTTAATTTGAGTTTTGGGGCCACAGGTAAATATTTATTGATGTTATTATTACATGTAGTGGACATAATGCATAATACTGACATTTATTTTTCTTTTTTTTTTAATGCCCATACCAATCCATATTCTGCATGAGCCCTGGTGGGCCTCCAGCCTTATTTACTGTCAGCATCCCAATGACATCAATATGTAAAAAAAAAAAATAATATTTTTTCCCAGCAACACTCGACCTCTGACCCGTACTACATATAGTGAATGCACAGACTTCTCATCTTCTCTGTTCTGTCCTGCTTCATGAAATGTTTTCCTTCCACCCATTCTCCACTCTCCATCACTGACTGACTGCCTCAGCTGTCGACCCAGAGCATAAAGCCAGCCTGACAGCAGCAACCGACTCTATCATCTCCACTAGAGGGAGGGCTATCTCACAACAAGGCCACCAAGGAGCTGCATCAGAGGTAGCTTCACTTATTTATTTATTTCTCCCCCAGCTTGATAGTGTAATTCAGAAACTGAATGAATGACACTCAGGACAGTGCCAACAAACCGGGCGCACAATGGAGACTCCACTGCATTTACTTCTGGAAAAAAAAAGAGAAAAACTATCCATTACAAATGTGTAATTATTGTCCTTAATAGATTAATTCATGCTGAAAGATAGAAATGGGTTCCAGGCTATTGATGTAATCATTTCACTGAGGAAATTAAGTGACATTAAAAGAATGATATTGTCACCGTGAAAGTATCATTGATTCTTTTCGAATGCAATTAACTGTATTTGAAAATGGGACCTGCACATTGAGCTGTGCAAGGAGCACTGAGGATCACTTCATTTGTGAGAGATATAAAGACCAAATTATCCCATCAAAGAGAAAATCTATAAATGTAATGGCACGGCGCTCCAGCACTAAGGAATGACAACAGCGGTCC